AAAGGCGTTCGCAACTGCGTTAATCTTTGCTGCGTACTCTCCTCACACGCGGCATGTCCGATCGACGATGTCGAATTACGATGGCGTTTCACTTGCGTTCTCGGATTTGGATTTGCTTTCGACCGCCGTAGATCACTCTGAGAACGATCCGACTGCATCCCGTACTCGAGACTAAAAGTGTAGAATTTTTTAACTGTACTTACGACTATATAATACCTAACCTGTATATTTTTACATATTGAATATAGGGAAGCGAAATTGAGAGTTGACGGGAAAAGGCGCGGATGAGAATCTAGGCGCGATATATAAAAAAGAAGAAGTACACGATTAGCATAGACACGAATATACATTACACATACACACACATACAAACAAATACACACATACGTACAAATACATACACCCATGAATTTAATATAAACTTGATAAGAGACGCGTAACTCATACACACATACATACGCATACTTGGCGCAACACGATAAGTATCGTTGAGCCTTGAGGAAAAAAGATATTATACAAGTCGTAAGGGATGAGATCAGTTTTATTGTTGATTTCGGCGTGGCATACAATAAAATTTTGTAATCGGCGGCCCTGAGTTTCGCGCTTTCGCGCTTGGGGCCCGAGAACGTTGCGTAGTATAATCAAACCCCGACATAACAATACGAGTTTTTCCTCGATCAGACTCGGGGCGACTCTCGGGGCGATCGGGATCGCCGAAAGCGTAAATGAGCATAATTAAAATCAGCCGTGCATGTCAATAATTGAAACTGGGATGAGAACGAGAAGCTTGTCTTTCGACGGTCCTGAGAATGCGCCACGATACTCGTCGCAGTAAGTCGGAAGAAGATATCTGTACATAGGAAAACTACAACATAGCACAGGGTGTACGTACATGCCGGTGCACACGTAATGTCCTAGCGGAAGTATTACCTATGATAGTGTATGAAAATAATAAGACGTTCGCAGAAACGGGCCAGGCGCTTGAAAATGGAGGTGCATCGCCCCTTTTCCCCTTCATGACGAATCTCGCCCTCGCAGGTATGACCCTCGAAATGAAAGAAAGAGAGAGAAAGAGAGAGAGAGAGAGAGAGAGAGAGAGAGAGAGAGAGAGAGAGAGA